CCTCCCAGCCGCTCCAGAGGGGGCTCGCAGAGCTGAGGACGCGCGCCGCGCCGCTCAAGGTCTCTCTCTCCGCGCGCTCGCCGGCCGGCATCTGACGCGGGTGCCAGGGGCTCCGGGCACCTTGCAGTGGCCCTTCCCTCGGCCAGCCGGGACTCCGCAACCCAGCCGCCGCCGCCGCGGCCACCGCCTGAGGGGACCTGCGGACAGGACGCGGGCAGGAGGAGGGGTGCGCAGCGCGCGCGCAGAGCGTCTCCCCCGCTGCGCCGCGAGACCCGGGCCTCCCGGCCCCAGAAGCCCCCGGCCGCCTCGCCAGGTGTGTGGCACTGAAGTTCTTGCGGAAGGGAGTCCAACTCTTCAAGGTAACTGTCTCCTTCCCTCCAGGGAGAGGCTTTCCCGGGGTCCCCGGGCCAGCCAGCAGCGGTGTGGCGGCTGTCCCGCTCCGTGCCGGGGGCTGCGCTGCCTCGGTCTCCCCTGTGCGGGGAGGCGTGTGCTGGGGCTTCCTGGCCGCTGCGTCCGCCGTGGAGTTGAGCAAACTTTCAGGCTGTGCGGACGCCCCGTGAATGGGGCAAAGGAACACGTGACGAGGGGCTCTTGTCTGCTGGTCCCCTGAAATTAAGGAACAGCGAACAGGGAGCTTTTACTCCCGACTCCCGTGGGTTTTCAAGTCCGAGGGTCTGGAACGAGCCATGGTGGACAGACTAGCAGCTTCAGAGTCGGGGAAATGTGGGTTCAGATCCCCTGTGCTACTTTTGAGCTGGAGGAGTTGCTTCATGGTTCTGAGCCTTGGCCTGGGCTGTCAGTGGGAAGGAGGAGGCTCTTTGGCAGGGTGGCTGAGCACGGGCAGTGTGTCAGGTACACGGCAGGTGCCCAAGCAGAGGCTGAGAGAACCCATTGGTCCCACTTCCTTGGCCATTTGGCCTACTCCAGGAGCCACAGGGATGGGAAAAAGCTGGGGGTGGGAGGGATTGGCAGAACCCAGGACAGGGCCACTGAGCTGTCAGCAAGGGAGACAAACTCTGAACATGCCACTAAGCAGGGGCATCTCTCAAGGAAGAGGAAGGAAAATGAAGACACATGACCAGGGACAGTTTTGCCGTCTCTGGGTTCCCCTGCAGTTGAAGCCAATGATGATGGTGGAACCTTTCAAACCCTGGGGTTGGGTGGATGGTTGTCTTGTTAACTGAACCTAAACCAGAGCAAACTGGGCAGGGGTGGGGGGCTGTCTCCTGTCTCCTGGAAGACTCCAACCCAAACTTTTTCATCATTCTACTCCTTGCAGTCGTGAGCAAGGTTCTGATAGGATTCTTCTAGGGTCTCACCGCTAAGGAGCCCAGGTCCCAGCATTTTGCTTGGTGCGTAAATTCCAATTCTGTCGGGGTGGGCTGCCAGGAGGAAAGGAAGGAGGATGCAAAGCTGAATGGGTTAGTGTGGTGTTTCAGGTCCGGGACACTGCGGTGGGTGGGTATCTGACAGTTTGGGGGAACCCTGGACCTTGGAAACACATTCGAAAGAAAGTGAATCCAGAAAAGTGTGATGACTTTCTAAAGGTCACACGTGACTTAGGGGAAGGGCAGGACTAGAATCTGGATGTTCTGAGGCCCCAGTCGGTTGCTCGTCCTGATTTAAAGAATCCAGAAGTCTGGGCTCCAGTCCTTTTTCCTTCCTTGCCTTTGGGTTGCTAAGGGGAAGATCGGCTGTGCCCCTGGGCAGGGCGGCTTAGGAGGTGCTTTGAAGATCAGTGTAGGAGCATTGGCCTGTCCATCATTGAGCCTGGAAGAGGCTGCCCAGGAATGGAAGGGCAATCAGGGAGAAACCCCAAGGCCATGGGGGAGAAAATGCAGAGGAGGGGGTGCCCCTAACCCAAAAGCAAAGATCCCTCCAATTTAAAAAGTTCTGGATGAAGGAATTATGAAAAGGAAGAAAATATCTCTCAGAGAAATGCTGGAATTTTTCAGGTTTCAAGTTGGGTTTAAATGTGATGTGTCTATGTGCAGTTTCTAGCACGTCCCTGGTACCTTCATTCATTCTCCAGTAACTACTGAGCGCCACCTAGTAACTCTGTGCTCCGTGCTGGCCCATCGCTGGTCCTCAATACACAGTAGCTGTGGTGACGCAAGCAAGTACTCCATAACTGATATTGTTTATTATTATTGTGACTAATTTTAATACTAAGTAGATATTTTTCTTTTGCTAGAATTTTCCATGAAAATCATACTCCAATTGGGATTCTTACTTTATTATTTGAAAGCCCTCTGGTCAATATAGGAGTAAAGAATCCAGAGGGGAAAAGGGAGTCTCTGTGAGCTTGAGTGGTGAGACTCCATGCCCCTTCTCAAACCCACGCGTACACTTTGCCCCTTCTCCCCATCTCCCACACACCCACATCCCAAGCAGCCTGCACCCCTGCATGCCGAGTGGGGCACCCTCCATCCCCCCATGCCCAGAACAGACTGAACGACTCCCCAGTCAGAGAGGGAGCTCCAAGAGAGCCCTGACTCTGGGGCGCCTGGGTGGCTCAGTTGGTTAAGCGACTGCCTTCGGCTCAGGTCATGATCCTGGAGTCCCGGGATCGAGTCCCGCATCGGGCTCCCTGCTCGGCAGGGAGTCTGCTTCTCCCTCTGACCCTCCTCCCTCTCATGCTCTCTGTCTCTCATTCTCTCTCTCTCAAATAAATAAATAAAATCTTTAAAAAAAAAAAAAAGAGAGAGAGAGAGCTCTGACTCCTGCGATGGTGGGGGCCTGCCTGGCAGGGCAGACCCGGGTTCGAATCCCAACTTGGCCACTTACTGGCTATATGATTCTGAAGAGGTCCTTGTCTGGCTGTCAGCAGGCACCAGAAACCTTAATTCCTCTCCTCTAGCAGCTTCTAGGCCCCCTTGGGGTCACAAACTGTAAGTTCAGGAGAGTACTAATTGAGACTATTCTGTAATAGTAAAAGACTGTGTGTCCCAACTTTTCATGTGGTTTTTTTCATGATGCCTCCTAGAACCTTGTCCCTCCCAAGCCCCTTCTTGTTGGGCATGAGGAGGGCCTCAGCTGAGCCGGGGGAGGCCCACGGGCCTCTGCTTGGAGCCTCACTCTTAGTCTCTCTCTGATCCTGCAGGGACATCTAGCACAGAACATGTCCATCTGCAGGTTGTAAAACCAATTTAGGGGAGTGTAATGACATAGGAAAGAGTAATTTCATAGTGCCTCCCATGTAGTAAAGGTAAGTATTGTTTCTGGAAACTTTTATTTCTGTTATATATTTGGCAATCCTAAATAAGTGTATATGTGGTTATAATATATAGGTATATACACAATATATACAAATTTGATGTTTATAGGATGAATTTCTTACTGCCGGTTGTGGTCAAAAAAGTCTGAAAGACACTGATCCTGATAATGTTTCTGTCTCTGAGAAATTCCTGCTTCATGGCTCTAGCTGGCAGGTGCCGGGGCTTCCTTGCTGCCCCTGTGCTAACACCTGGACTGGACCCATAAGCGTCTTGGGAGTGGGGGCAGTGAGGGGTGGAAACTGGGGGTGGGAGTGAAAGGCAAGTTCAAGGAAGAGGACCCAGACTCTGAGAGGAAGCAATGCATGGAGGACAGGCCTGCTTGCGAGTGGAGCAGGAGGGGTGACAGGGCCAATGGGCTGCCCTGGGAAAGGGGGTCTATGGGTGGGAACATCTTTTTTTTTTTTTTAAGATTTTATTTATTTGTTTATTTTTAAAGAGAGAGTGTGCGAGTGAGCAGGGGAGGAGCAGAGGGAGAGGGACAAGCAGACTCTGTGCTGAGCACAGAGCCTGACTCGGGGCTTGATTCCACAACCCTGAGATCATGACCTGAGCTGAAATCAAGAGTCAGATGCCCACCTGACTGAGCCACCCAGGCGCCCCTATGGGGGCGCGGATATCTTGAAGTAAGAGCCATCCTCTTCCGCTCTCACCAGGCCAGCTTCTTGGCCGTGCTGTGGCCTTGATGGGAGCTTCGCGGCTACCCTCCTTCCTTGAGAAAGCTCTGTTCTGTCGAGTGGAAGGAAGCTGTGGCACCTGCCCTGGCGGCTCTCCTTCCCCCAGACCCAGTAGGACACCCCCATCCCTGAGAGGAGGTCTGGGCCCCTGGGAGTGGTTGAAAAATGGAGCCAATGTCGCAGGGGAGGAGCCGCTGGGGGATGCGGGGCAGGGGCAGGGTTAGAGAGGGAGAGCGAGAGTGAGGCAGAGGCAGGACCAGAGAGAGGGGGAATTTGTAGGGAAAACGGTTCCTTTTTTCAAAAGTTGAATCCAGGGCAAGAACGGAAACGGTGGAGTTTACTTTTAAAAACTCAGAGCCTCCTTGTAAGCGGCTGTGTGTGTGTGTGTGTGTGTGTGTGTGTGTGTGTGTGCCCCCTTGCATGTGCGCACACTAGGAGGGCGGGCCCTGCAGGCCAGCCTGGGCTTGTGAGAGGCGACTTTTCTCCCTCTCAATGGCCTTACAGTGTATCCTAAAGAAGCTTTTTGTTGAACTCATGAATAGATGGATTTGGGGTGTGGGATGCTGGCCATCACGATTTGGGTATTTGGTTACCTTTGAGGTTACATGTTTTCCCTTTTAAGACACACACCCAGAAAAGGAGCCACCTCTCCTGCATCGGGTCGCTTTTGGGGTGGGAGGCCTTGCTCGTCTCTGTGATTGATTTGGCTTGAGGGGCAAGGGTCCGAAGGAGAAACTGAGGACCGGGCAGATGTGTAACGTCCAGCCTGGCCGACAGCCCCTCCTCAGCCCCGGACTCTGGGACTCCGAGGTGGAACATGGCAGTTCCCAGACCATGGATGTCCAGGGAGCTTCGGGGCCTGTGGTGACCCTTCTGTAAGAGATCACAAAGGGAATGGAGGCCCAGAAGGGGGAAAGTGCGTGCCCCAGGCCGGCCCAGAGCAGACCAGTGAGGATCTGGACGGGAACCTAGGCCTTTAGGCCCTCATCCTGACACATACCACATCCACGGAAAGCATTCATTCATTCTTCCTGCAGCACCCGCTACAGGCACTTCACTAGGTGTGTTTAAACAATTCACTCTCCCTGCCCTCCAGCTACTCATGGTCTATTGAGGAAGACAGGCTATACTCAACTTGACCCTGACCCCGCATTCCTATAAAGCAGCGGCTCTCAACTGGGGAGCTCTTTTGCTCCCTGGGGACCATTTGGCCTTATGTGGAGAGATTTTTTTGTTGTCACCATGGGGAAGGGGTGATAGTACCAGCATCCGGTGGGTAGAGACCAGGGATGCTAGTAAGCATCTGAAAATGCCCAGGACAGTACTTTCCTCCTACCAGTAGAGAATGATCCAGCCCAAGATGCCAGTAGTGCCAAGATCGAGAAGTCCTGCTCCAGATCTTCATTT